TCTTTCTCTCTCTATCTCTCTCTTTTTATTTATTTATCTATCCACCTATCTATCTCGCTCCATCTATCTTTCTATCTATCTGTCTGTCTGTCTATCTATCTATCTCTCTCTCTCTCTCTCTCTCTCTTTCTCTCTCTATCTATCTCTCTCTTTCTCTCTCTCTCTATCTATCTCCCTGTTTATCTATCTATCTATCCATCTCTCTCTCCCTTTATTTATCTAGCTATCTATCTGTGCATCTATCTCTCTATCTAATCTATCTATTTTTCTAATCTATCAATCTATCTATCTTTCTATCTATCTACTTATTTCTCTTTCTATCTAGCCAGCTATTTATCTATATGCCTATCTAGCTCTCTCTCTCTCTCTCTCTCTCTCTTTATCAGCCCACATGAATTTCTAGCCGGGAAAACACGGCAGCGTCCGCCCTTTTTCTACACACGGCCTGAGCCGGCACGCGCAACAACCGTGCGGCCTGCGCCAGCGCGCACGGTGATGCTTGGGCAGGATCGTCAAGGCTGCTGTGCTGCACAGTTGACGAACCCAAGCCAACTTTCGCAGCTGCAACATGAGTGCGTGACCAGAGATTTCGTGCAAGGTGACCATGCAGCCTGAGCCGGCACGCTGGCCGCCCTCGCTGCCTGCGTTTACACCGTGTGTTCCAAGTCGATTTGAGATCCTTGCTACTTTCTCTCTCTTTTTCTATCCATCCATCTATCTATATCTATCTATGTATCTATCAATCTATCTATCTACGTCTTTCTCTATCTATATATTCTTGATCTATCTATTTGTCTGTCTATCTGTCTCTCTCTGTTTATCTCTCTACAAATCTTAATTATAAGTCTCTGTTTATCTATCTATTTATCTATCTATCTATCTACCCATCCATCCATTTATCTCTCGTTTTATCTATCTCTCTCTCTCTCTCTCTCGATCTATCTATTTATCTATCGATCTATCTATCTGACTATCTTTCTTTCTTTTTATCTAAAAAAAAGACCTACCTATTTATGTCTTTCTCTCTCTCTCTCTCTCTTTCTCTCTTTTCATCTATCAATCTATCTATCTATCGACCTATCTATCTATCTATCTCTTTCTCTTTGTCTCTGTTCAGCTATCTATCTATCTATCTATCTATATATATATATATATATCTCTATATATCCCTCTTTTTACCTATCTATCTGTCTCTCAGTTTTCTTTGTATCTATCTATCTATCTATCTGTCTATCTATCTATCGATCTTTCGATCTACCTACCTGCCTTTTGTCTATGTATCTATCTATCTTGATTTCATTTTATCTATCTATCTATCTATCTATCTGTCTATCTCTCTTTCTCTCCTTTTATCTATCTAATGTATCTAATCTATCTGTATCACTACCTACCGATCTATCTATGTATCTATCTATCTATCTCTCTATCTGTGCTTAAACTTGCGAAAGCTGCCCCTGCCACGAAATCTGCACTTGACCTTGCGAAAGTGCTGCGCCTGCCACGAAATCTGTACTTGACCATGCGAAAGTGCTGCGCCAAGCTGTACTTGACCTTGCGAAAGTGCTGCGCCTGCCACGAAATCTGTACTTGACCATGCGAAAGTGCTGCGCCAATCTGTACTTGACCTTGCGAATGTGCTGCGCCTGCCGCGAAATGTGTACTTGACCTTTCGACAGCGCTACGCCTGCCACGAAATTCAATCCTTGGGAAAACTTGACCTTGCGACAGTGCTGCGCCTGCCACGAAATCTGTGCAAAAGTGCCGCGCCTGCCACGAAATCTGTACCCGCCGCGCCTGCCACGCAATTAGAACCTAGCGAAACCTTCGCGTTGCCGTGCCAATGGGCCCGCGCTCGGAGTGTTCGGAGCATGATCCGAGACTGGTCCGAACGTGGTCCGAACGCGGGCCGACCAGGCGCCGCGAGCAGGCTAGCTTTCAGCTCTCCGGACACGCCAATTCACGCACAGGGCCAATTTTTTGCGCGCGCTTATTCCTTCTCTTGTCATCTGTCCTCAGAGAGCTAGCTTTCAATTAGTTGCCGTAACTCGGAAGTTCCTTCTAGACTTCCTTTGGTTAGAAGTTGGAGCCCCTATAGCTTTCAGCTATCAGGGGAACAAATGTGGGTCCGTCGAGTTTTGTTGAGGGCGCGCGCGCGTTCGCGTCCGGAGCGCCTTTTTAGCCTTGCCAACCACACGCGTGCTCACGTGCAAAAAACCTGTGGCTAGCAGCTACCAGGTTACCAGTACGCATGAACAAGCGTGTCAAAGATGTCGCAGCTCTTCCAATGGTTCAAGACTCATAATGCTTTGCCTTCCTTCAGTGCTATGAGCAGGTGAAATGCACGAAGGGAAAGATTATCGTCAATACATATCCCCGTTCATGAGGGAAACTAAGTCCAGCTCACGCATGGTTACTCAAGATCGGGCAAGCGAATATGAATTACGATTATTTATGCCATTTTCTCCACAGACTCTTTCTATTAAGGGTCAGGCCAACCAGAAAGCTTGATGTATTTACGTGATGGTTTACGCCTTTGTTTTCGGGTACGGACAAAACGACAGACCCCCTATTTATAGGCTAAGTCTTGGTTTAACCCTTACTGTCTAAAATCCCGACATTGATGGCCGTACAAGTGGATGGACAAAATGCTCTTCGCTGGCAAGTGGTTTGTCCCAACTAGGCTTTAATCCATCCACACTCCAGGTGTTTGATGCTCCTATGGATTCACTCTTGAAAAGCCCTAAAAGAGTCAATCCACAGTTGGAGCATTTAACATGTAAACTACAAGGTGCAGGAATTGGCTGGCCTACAGTATCAACCTAAAGGAAAAGGGGTGTTTTAAACACGGCCCTGACGTTGTGCAGAGCTTCACATCAGCGCGGTGCTCCACCATCCGGCGGATGATTTCCACGTTGCCCGCGAAGGTGGCACAAAGCAATCCGTTCCTGGTGCAAGGCTGATGAGCCATAGCGGAAGCCATGGGCTCCAACTAGGCGCTGCAATGCCTCCCCTTTTGGCTCTGAATCAGTATTTTAGATTCGCGGGAAATGGTTGTCATTGTGTCATCCTGCAAATCAACTTGGAAACCCGAGAGCATTCTCTGTTGGGAAAACATCTTTCTGGGCTCCATGTTAATTTGAAGGGGGACGGGTAAGGGGAAAACTCGCTTCCCAACAAATACATTCAAGATTCACTTGATTGACAGCCAACTCTTCCAACTCAGCTGGGACATCTGATTTTCAATATGGCCAAAATGCAATCCTTTTAGCAGCCCCCAAAAAGAACCCACGGCACATTGCTGTGTCTCTCGGAGAAACAAACAACATGAACCCACCAACTAACGTAGAACATGACAAATGAGGTTGGACACTACCATTTTCCATGGAAAAGGACCTTCTGCCGAGGTCCTTGCTGACATGGCTTGGAAGGTACCCCACTTATGACATCTTAATAGCTAGACTGCGGTACAGGGGTACCTTGAAACCGCACGAAGACATAAGCATGGAATCGTGATGTGAGTAATTCTCTCGCCCCGCTTGCAGCCTTGGCAACTCGCCCGTATTTGGCCCGTGTTTCACAAAGTATATTTTTAAAGTTATGTTTTTCATAGTAAATACCTCCCTCCCTTTCGAGGCATTGGGTTGACATCATACCCTATCATACCTAGGGGTTCCATGATTTTATGTTGCATTCTTTGTGTTACCAAAAACATCAGTGGGCATCTCTCTTCCACGTTGCAGGTGAAAGATCTGCTATACGCAAACCATACACTAACCATAGCCAGTTCTTCCAGTTGCCACTATTCTGGGGAACCATTCAAATGGGGTTGCTGGGATGACGATTGGCTGGAAAACCACGGGGAAACTCCAATTTCAAATAGGGGTTAACCAAAAAATCCAATGAACATGGGACCATTGGTTGGAAACCCACTAAAATGATTTGATACTTCATGGGACAAGTAACCCTCGGTCATTTGAGAGCCAGGAATCTTGATCAACCTCCAAATGTTCTCAGAAAACACAAACGTGTTGTTTCCTGTAGTGGAAACACCAATTCGGAGTGACATCCTGCGGTTTCAAGGGGGAAACCACCAGGACGCCAAGTCATTTTGGAAGCATTGAGTCCCCAACAAACCTTCATCGTAGAAATCATAGGGGAGACGCACTCAATGGAAGCTCGTAAAACGACAAGTGGGCAGATCCAGACCGCGGATGGCTCCAAAATCCACAAAACGCACCAGTTGGGATTCATCCCCAAACACTGGGCTAAACCACCTTCCAACTGTTGGCGATCGGACATGCAAGCACTATTTACACTATTATAGATCATAAGCTCGGCGAACAAGGAGAGCAAACAATAGTTTGTTGGATAAACCACCAAATGGATGTATGTGTGTGTGTGTGTGTGTTGATATATGTATACGTGTATATACATATGTATATATATATATATATAATGTGTATATTTATGTTAAACAAAACCACACACACACACACATTTAAAGCGCTTCCATAGCTACAACTGCCAAGCGTCATGCCGCTGGTCTCCTGCCCTGCCTGGTGCCAATCTTCGAACCCGAAGTTCTCCAGGAAGGTCTGCCGAGTTCGGGAGGTGAGGGCAAAGAGGACCACCCAGTTGCAACCAGCGACTCGTTCGCCAAACCACTTGGGGCCATTTGGATTTGTCCCTCCTGTTTTTTGCAGGCACCACTTGCTTGTGGGTAGGGAAACTACAAGGAAAACCACGGTCCCTAAAAAGGACAACCTCAGTTCTTGTTGGGGTGAGGATCATTTTTTGGAGAAGCCATCAAACAGAAAGAGGGTGCCACTCAACAGAGACAAGGAAACCGAACTGGAGTGAAAAAAAGAAAACAACAGGAGAAAGCAAAAGGAAACCAAGAGGGGATCCAAGCAGTGGTGAGACTTCTTACTGTGGTCTACAATTGTTGTTGGGCTAGGTGAGGGTTGTATTATGGGCCTGTGGACAGATTTCCGTCTGGCCTCTTCATCCCAGCGCGTCGAAATGCCCAGTAGCTTGGGGCGATTTGCCACGAAGAAGCGGTAGACATGCAGCGGCCCATGCCTGAAGGCCCCCAAAAGAAGCGCTTTTGGTTCACTCTCTCCATCTTCCCTCTTGGTGGTTTGGGTTGGGAGGGTTGGGTAGTTTCCCAGCTACGCACAATAACCGGGGCTGGGGCCTTGATTGTGGGTTCAATCACCCAAACCAATCGAACCCCTCGCCTGCGGGACATGTCCCAAGCCAATAGGCAAAAACGTGATACCGTCCTGAATCCAGGGATCCGGGTCTTGCAAATGACCGCCCCTGCAAAACACACGGTGCCTGCAGAGTCTGCGCTGGCAATAGCCCGACTGGACACCGGTTCGGACTGGCGCACAAATCTGCCACAAAACAAGACAAGCTTGCCTCGCATGTCACTGCATGGTACGCCTCAAAGATCAGCCTTCCAGTATCACCTAGAAGATCTCCGAATCAAAAGAACGATGGTTGAAAGGAATGGGAAATGAACCAAACCCAGGAAATGGAACCTTCATGTAGCAGGAATTGGCTGCTCAAGAACAACATTACCTTTGCGGTCGCCAAACGCAAACCCAAACTTGAAAAGGTCGGTCTACTTTGGGGACTTGGGCCCCAAGCAAGCCAACTTTTGCTTGAAGGGGAAATGTAGGAAACTAAGAAGGCAAACAGTTGAAGCGGGTCAGCCTTTCTCGCGATTGTAAGGTTGGTTTCTGGATTAGGATTGGCCAACCTTTTGTTTTTGAAAAACCTGGTTTACTGGGTTTACAGCTCCACCTAACCCACTCGGCCCGACTCGGAAAGCCGGCCGCCCCGGCTTGAAAAAGCGGCCGAGAGGCTGCCGCAGTTGCCGGATCTTCTCCTCCACGGCCACTTCCCCCAGCTTCGCCACGGTGCTTCGATCCTGAAACCGGTGTTCGTATCCACGGCCCCCGAAACTGCATGTCCTTTAGACATCGGACCCCGTAAAATGGCGTGGCTTCCTTTTAAGACCAACCAAGAAGAGGCACCATCAAAAAAGACACAAGCATAAGGTTGTCTAACTTATCTTTTTCAACATGGTTGAGTTCGCAAATACTTGAATCTTTGACGATGCTTGTCTGAGCTGATGAGAGCTTGGTTAACGTTCAACCAACCTAGGACCGAAACACTTCTTTTCATGTTACTCAATGCCAAACATGTACATTAATACCAACACGTTGACCCAGATTCACTGTCGTGCTCATAATACATGTAACGCGTCGACCCAGGTGGAAAAATAATTGGAACCCGAACCATCTGGGTAAGTGTAAAAAAAAGGACCCCCCAAAATAATAATAATAATAAATGGTTTGTTTACCAACTAACTTGATCAAAAACACAACTAACTTGTGGTGGTAAATGGCCAGACATGGTGGCAACGTTTATGGCTCTAACCAGTTTCGACCTAAACACCTTTCTCGAACAGTTTAAAGTCTACTAACTGCCCAAGTCCAAGTTAAAACAGAGCCGCCGCGCGAAATTACTCAGGCGGGCAGCCGCTTCCACGGTGAAGTCGGCATCAACGATGGCGCTGGCCTCGTCAGCCGAATCACCGGCAACATGTGATAATGCATTTGGATCTGCTCAGTTGTCTGAGGGCGAATGTAGGAAAGTATCGTCTACAAGGAGCATCTTGGGACCTTTCGATTGAACACTGCATAAAGCAAACACCAAAACAACAAACAGCTACACACACACACACCTCATGTTTGTGAATTTAGGACAATAAACAAAGGGAGCAACATGCCGGCTCCAGCTTTCACTCCCCCCCAAATAACTCAATCCCCGTTTAGCTTGTTGCATGGGTTCAAAAACCTGGTCGAATAAACACGGGCCCCGGTATCCTGCCCAAAGGACACCGGGGATTGATCATCCTTTCGCAGCTACACACCTGCCTTGGAGAAGACTATTGCAGATCCAAACCGGCCTGATGATTTGGGGAAGTGGATGGCTTGAGGGGTAAGACGCTGTACATTGGTCAACACCCATGGTTTCCAAACAAAGGTCTGGTAAGTTGAACAGGCCCCACAAGGAGATGCCTCAAGGGGGCTTGCTCAACTCCACAAAGCCGATTCTTCCTCAGCACACCATGAACTGGGTTTCAAAATTCCTGGCTCTCAAAATGGCCATGGGTAAGCGTTCCCATTTCGAGGGACAGTCATGCAGCATGCATTTCGCGATTTTTAGTGGTTTCCCTTCTTGGTAATCCAAGGCAACGGATCTGTTGATCAACCCCTCGACACAACCCCCCTCGACCAAACCCAGCCCAACCTGCCAGTCGAGCGGAAACATGAACTTTACCTCCCGCGTGCTGTGGATGAGGATCACCCGTGTCCTCGGGTCTTTGATCCGAAGGCGCTACGTGTTTCAGACCTCAAAGGTTCGGTGATTGGTTCGGTGGTTGACAGCGTGCAGACTGCAACTCGTACATCGCTTTCCAACAAACATGGAAGTCGCCCACGGCTTCGGAAGAAGGCCGTACGAAGAAAAGATTGCTTCTCTTTGTGCACTCCATGATTGCTGGAAAGAAGGCAATTGCATCTCGTTCCACAAATCTCCAGGTTCTCCTCATGGGCAAGATCGCTCTTTTCCTCCCCTCAACCGGTGCAATCATCAACCGGTCAAATCACTCATTCAACAAATAGACTGAATGAATTTGCTTCAACATGCTACTCCGACTTAGCGGATCTCACGGACCCTGCTAGAGAGGGTCCACCCCTTTTTAGGGATACCCCAAGCCCCTCACATAGCTTTCCGAGTGCTCGGGCAGTTGGGCAGCAACTGTGACTGGGTAAAGCCTCTAAAAACAACAACAAGTATGGAGATTGATCAAAAGACTCACTCGCCCCAAGGACTCGGACGTTTGGTACCTCCCAGTTGCCATGGGTTGACCCAAAGCTCAGATTTCATCGACTCGTTCTGTGAAACTCACCGAGCTAAGGGTCATGTTTTCAACATCCCATTGCTGTGTTTTTGAGGGTAGAGTGTGTGTGTGTGTGTGTGCGTGTTGGGTGGTTAAAGGGATTTCAATAACAATCCGCCAATTTTTTTTGGGGTCCCCCGAGATACACACACACACACACACCCATCTGTGCAAATTGGACATCCCAGAACCCCTAGTGGACGTTGTTCGTGACGGACCTTGCGGTACGCAGGGTGAGCTCCTTACAATTTCCCAAGACTCGGGCATGCCTCTGGAAAATATATATTTCCGTGATGCCGAAGCAGGCCATTCCTATGACTTCTCGCCTTTTGAAGGGACCACATAAAGCAACAACCTAAAGCCCTACTGTGTCTTTACATAGACCACCAACATGAATTTTGGCTTTCCCTCTGAGTGGATTGGCCAAACAAAGTCGGAATTTTATGCTTGTCACTAAAACAGTCTTCCCGAAAAGGATAAGTCCGTGAACTAAGGAAGTGACATGGCTGGCCTTTCCAACAAGCCAGAAACGGGCTCAGAGTTAACCAACGAAACCAGGTCACGCGAGGGTTCCCTCCAAAAGTGGTCTAAGTTTTCACCAAAAGTGGACACCCCCCCCAAGAAAAAAAAGAAAAAAGAAAAAAACTCCACCACGGGTTCTGATAAAATCCAGGGTGAACATTCCCGCAACCGACGAAACACGGTCACGTCCATTGACTCCAAGAGTCTCAGGCTTGATGGAGAGGAGGCGGCACCAAAGCTCTGCGCGACACCAGCCTCGTGCCTTGGACAAATGTTCTACGGCCTGGAGCCAAATCGAAAGTGCAGCTAGTACGTGTCCCCCAAAATGGCTTTGGATTACCAACTGGCTTCCCTCTAAACCAACCTTGAAAGGGGTGGTACATATACCTACATATATATATATATATATTATAGAGACATGTGAGTCATAATCAAAACCTGGTACAAAAATGGTGAACCCAGAACCATGTACAGGATTAAGAAGGCGGCCGCAACTATTTCCGGCTGGGACTGCCCCTTACTAACCTTTATCTACCCGGGTTTTCACTGTGGCTCATGTGATGTTTACCCATATTTGCAGATGATAAGTGGTGTTTTGAAGCAAACATTGGCAAACTTTATCTACAATTTACAAGGAGCTTCAGGGGTTTGTGTTTGGCTTTGATTTTATGATTTCCACACAAGGGGCCATTTCCAACAAGAAGTTCTTACCCATATGAGCAGCGTCTGAAAGCTGTTAATTGTTGGTTCTACCAAAATGCTCTAGGTTTACCTATACCCTTTCTATGAATCTCATGACACCAGGCAGGAGAACTAGCTACGCAAATTGCCCACAGAAGCTTCGGGCGCTACTCCTGTGACTCTGGACCTAACAGGCCCAGTCGGCACCGTAGAAAGTTGATTTTGGCTAGGGAAGCTGAAGCCAAACCGGCACCAGGGGGCTGCCGTGCAAGATGTTGGGTTGGCCAATCCGATGTTCTACAATCGCTATAGGGCAGCCACGAAACAAAGAGGAGCCTTTGCACCCAAGGTGAGTAATAGGTGAGGATTAAGGATGAATCTTTGAACAACCCAGGCTTGTTCCTAACATCAGTCTTTAGCTTTTAATGAGACTGGCAGCCGTGTCTGGGTGGCCCGGTGATCACGTTCAGTGGATACCCTCCCAATAGACATGGACGTGAACACGCCAGGGTTGGGCAAAAAAACGTTTACACAACCGACCCTTGGTCCGTTAAAGGAAACCCAAAGGTGGTTGTTTGGAAATATTCACATGTTAAAACAAGGGACTGGCCCAACTCTGGTGCACAAACCCCTTTTGGAAGGCTACGTTCCGTCCATGTTTGTGAGCGCAAGCTTCCGATGCCTGGGCCAAGGTGCCAGCCACGAGGTGTAATTGCAGTGGGTTTTGCGATCATGATGCTGCACTTCTGGCACCAGTGCAATGAACAGATCGGAGACCTCAGGAAGATGACCTTCCCCTGCATGTCTCGCGAGTTCCCTAGAATATGGTTCAAACCAGAGGGTCCCCTTTGTTTTGGAAGGGTTGGCTTGCAACGCCTCCATTTGAACTCGCACATATATATAGAATTACCGAACATGAACTACTTGTTTTCCCCCAAACAGGTCGTGGGCCAATTCTTGAAATGGGACCGGTTCCACTGGCTGTGCGTTCGGACCTTGTAAAAAAGGGGTGTTTCTCAAACTTGGGGACTCCAGGTGGCTTCCTTTCGGTTTCCTTTTACGGTCCAAGACGGAGTCCTCTTTGAGAAACTCGATCCAAAGAAACGAAATGAATCGCAGCCCTTGTCACGTATCCCAATACGTGCTCCCCTCTTCCAGCACACGGAAACCTTTGGGAGTTCTGTCTTAAATTTCATGACACCTCCCAAATAGAGCTTTTGAACAAGCTTCGCCGGCATAGTAAGCCCTGCCTCAACATAGGCAGGAATGCTCTGGACAGCCTTCGCAGCATCCGACTTGGTGTCCTCTTCATTGACGCCCGCCGTTCGCGCAGTGATCTGCGGGATGGCAAACCTCGGCAGAAAAAGAAAGAAAAAAAGAAAACAAGGTTTCTTGTCCAGTAATTTGATTTCCCGAAATGTGGCGTTCATGTAAACCACCCCGAAGCGAGCACCCTAACCCCAAACACAGGTCCCCGTTTCCGCTTGGTGTCCCTTCCCCTTGAGGCGGATCAAGTTCAAGTGACCCCAAGGGCACCACCCCGAGAAATGGTGAGGTGCTATGATCCGAGGTTTTCCCTCTGGAAGCAAACGAGTTACTGCGGTAAAGACACACCATATTACCCCAAAAGGAAATCTATTTCCCAATCAAGGTGATAGCTAAAAAGGAGGATGGCCGTTTTGATTCTTGCACTTTCAAAGTATATCGACCGGGCCTCTGAAAAAAAAAAGTCGGACAAGACTTGGAGGACTATGCGACGCCGCCATGGCAGCTGGCCCCTTACTGTAGGACCAGGTCCCCGGAGGTGGTGTCCCAATGGGGAACCACCAATCCGAATGAAGGAAAACCCGTCCGAGTCTCAAAAACGCGTGTATTTTACTAACAATTCTATTTTTTTGTAGCTGAAAGTTCGGGGGATTTTAGATTAGATGAGGTTTGGGATTGGTTTTGGGGGAATTTTGGAGTTAGGGTTGAATAAAAAGTCCGTTTTCTGCTTCTGAAAGTCTAAAACTGTTAGTGGGTGTGTTAAATGGAAACCCAACCACTAAAAGCAAAGTGGATGGCTGGGAGCCACCAAGGGATGACTTTTTTGCAGCACCAGTTCGCTTCAATCCCAGGTGGCCAAATGAACATTCTCCAGTCAGAGTTGAAAACACGAATCCTGGTGGCTTTCGGAGTGCAAGCACTCAGCTAAAAACAAACTGCGGCGCCTTCGGGCCCCTGTTTGAACCTCAAACCTGACCTATCACAGACCATCCCAGAACCTCCGGAACCCTTATACCTTATGCATACATACACCAAACCACCCCGGAAATTCCAACATAAAAACCTATTTAAAACCTTACACCTAGCCTAAACCAGACAAATTTCAGAGAATTCGGCTTGTTTGGTGTAGGTTAGATGAAAGATTCAAGGAAGATTTTGGGGTAGTTTGGGATAGACTAGGTGTAAGGGTGGTTTGGTGTGTAGGCTAGGTATAAGGTTTAAGGTAGAATCCGGAGGTTGCGGGGTGATGTCCCCGAAAACGTCACCTCACCAAAACCAAACTCACTCTTAATGACCCAAAAGGTGATGGGAGCTTCCGAATTGCAGGCCAGCAGCCAGTCAAGGAACAGGTAGCCTTGTGCCAGCCCTTCGGGCGACTGACGGGCATGTCGACTGCCGCCCCGGTTTTGGGAGACGATGTCTGTCTCAGCACTCACCGTACCTTGACTCACCGGCAGTTTGGCTTGGAGGATGGGATTTGGATTCGAACCCTCCTCTTGAAACCAAATGGCAAGGCAGCCCCCAACCTCCAAATCACCAATGCCGATTGAACAACCAACAGCCTCAGTCTTTGTCTGGCGCAATCACATTTGATATGAGGGTGTCCCATTCTGAAGGGAACCGGATCACTTGTTTCAGGATCCACCAACCCAAGCCGGCTTTAAAAAAAAAAAAAAAACAGAACTGGGTCAGCATGAGTGTCTTCAGCATCTGTAGGGGAAGCCAACAAACGAGTCACAATCAAACCAATGTACTGAAGGTTCTCAAAACCATAGAAAGAATCAAGAGGGCGGCCTCAGCTGTTTATGGTGGGGATGATTGTGACTCAAGTAGAGCTCTTCCATCACGTCACCATCGATGATGTTCTGCAGCGTCTCTCGCAGCAAAGCGCAGTGAACCCCTTGAGGGTCTGGATGCGCAAGGCCCAGCCACTGATGAGACACAAAAATGGTGAAAATGCCTCGGGTCACGGCGGACAGCAGCCAGTTGAGTGTTCCAAGCGGTTAAAACTCCAATATGCGCCATGATCGAAACTCCGTTTGTTTGGCCTATGGTCATTTTTCCCTCAACAGCAATCACTCTTCACCTCTCGCGTTCGCATCAAGTCATGTTATGTCGAGAAGCCTAAAGGCGCTCCGAGAGCAAAGCTTTCAACCTGAGACTCAATCGTCAATAGGAATCATTACCGTCGTGAAGGATCCTTACCAGCAGGTGGATGACCATCCCTGTTCACCCCCAAGTAAGTTGGTCTTTTGACCATGGCATATATGGCTTCTACGGCCTGGACAGCTATGGGGTACTGTCAGGAGCCGAGAGCCTGAACAATTAGGATAGCACTTCAAAACCAAATTTAGTCATGGATCTAGGAATGACCTATGTAGCGGTTATTTAACCCCATCCAGTACGCAAGGAGCTTGGCCCAGAGCGTCACTCCCAATCTTGCTCTTCACAAAAAGGTTTATTCACATCAACCTCTTTTGCTCCCAGCCCAGAATAATGTGTTTGATTAAGACCCGTATTTAGTGAACCTGAAAAGGACAACTAATAAAACCCGGTCTACACCACCAACTTGGTCCAGAGTGACTGAATTGCATGCTTGCTTGCTTAGCTGTTTTCTTGCTTATGTCTGTCTTTACTTTGTTTCTTTGTTTATTTGTTGCCTTATGTCTTTATTTATTTGTTTGTTAGCTTGTTTCTTGTTTATTGACTTATTTATGTCTGTCTTTATGTATTTCTTTATATCGTTCTTTGCTTCTTTCTTTCTTCCTTCCTGCCTTCCTTCCTTCCTTCCCTCCTTCCTTCTGTCTTTCATCTGGTTGTTCATTATTGTTTCATTGAGTTGCGTTTTATTATTGATGGCGTTATTTATTTTGTTGTTTCCTTCTTCGTTTTCTTTGTTTATCATTTTGATCTTACTTACTTTGTTCCTTTCTGTACTTTTCTTGTTGCTTCGTTTCGTCATCTATTTATGTCTTTAATTTATGTATTTGATTTCAATTGTTCCTTCTTTTTTCTCTTTGTTGTTTCCATTATTTCTGGGTTTTTCTGTAGGTCTTTCTTTCCTTTCTTCCTTGCTTGTTTGCTTGCTGTTTTATTGTTGTTTGTTTGCTTGCTTGCTCGCTTGCTTGCTTGCTTGTTTGTTTGCTTGTTTCTGCTTTTGTGTGTTATTGTTGTTGTGTTTGATAGTGTTGTTGTGTTTGTTATTGTTGTTGTTTTGTTGGTTGGTTGGTTGGTCGGTTGGTCGGTTGGTTGGTTGGGTGGCTGGGTGGCTGGGTGGCTGGCTGGCTGGCTGGCTGGGTGGCTGGGTGGCTGGGTGGCTGGCTGGGTGGCTGGCTGGCTGGCTGGGCTGGCTGGCTGGCTGCCTGGCTGGGTGGCTGGCTGGCTGGCTGGCTGGCTTGCTGGTTTGCGAACTTCCGCCCAAGGCGCCTGGCTCCCAGGCTCTTAGCATTCCGCGCTGCCACAGCGCCCCATGGGCCTCTGGCGGGCCCTCCATTTCAAGGAAGTCCGACACCTGACGCCAATTGCACCCAGTCACTCGTTCAGTAGGAAAGGGCGCCACTGGGAGCCTTTTTGTTCGGAATATGTTTAGGGAGGAAGCCCTCAAACAAAAAGATATTTGGAGGGTGACAGTAAACAACTGGGTGAGAGTCTGAGAGCCAAATGTCTGCAAATTTGGAAGAGACACGATTCGCTCTTTGTTTGGGGGATGTTTTAAAGGCGTTTGAGGAAAGCCACCCAATGTGGCAAATTAATATGGAGGAGCCCACAGAGCGAGTCACGCCCAAAAAGGAGATTCTTCCAAGTGTGGCTTGCGTTTGGGCTCCGTGTCGATCTGCAGGGTCGTATACCAGATTCTTGCAGAGGACAGGGACTGGCCATGCCAAGCAAGAGCCACTGAAAGGCCGGCAGGCTTGGGCCATCCCTCTATTTCTCCTGTTGGCTGGTTGTTTCAACAGATTTGGCCTAGACCACAACTTTCAGAAAGCCCAGCTGTCTGAACGCGCAAAGAACTCCTGGCCTTGACCACGTACATGGGAAAATGCATCGTATGCACGCATGAGTCGCACGGTCGCGTGGGATTTGGGACTGGCTCGCAGTTGCCCATGGCGAAGCAAGTTGGGGAAGATCGGCGGCAAACGGCGAGGTGAATGTCGCTCCACCAAGGGGCTGTGAGCTTTTGAGGGGACTCTCATTTTTGGCTGCGTTGGAGGGACATCGAAACGAATTTTTGTTACTTTTTTGGGGGGTGATTTTTATACAGACCCCACAAAGACGCCCCGAACACCAGGAATAGTATTCCAGCATGATTCGCGCCCAGAGGGCCCCGTGGATTTTTTCCAGAGATACATAGACCCCTTTTTTCCCACCAAAAGCCATGTTCAGGGGTACTTGGAGGTTTTCAATGTGGGCGGTGGCGTACTTGAACACGGCATTTAATCATGATCCAAAGAGAATGCCGTCAACTGATTCAGGCACTTACATTGCTCAACAGCAGCTCATCGTGCGGCGCTTGCAACTCTGGTTTTGAGCCAGGCACCTGCGGTGCCGCGAACGCTGCAAATCTGCTCGGCCACGGTCTGAGCAAAAACACAAAGTTCTGGCGTGCAGCAAGGACAACATGAAACAACATCATCTGGTTGAAAGTGAGGTCCCCTTTGAACAAACTCAATATGGCAAAAGGAAGGCCGCCTACCATTTCTGTTTGCAACTACTGGCCACGGTCAAAATCATGTGTTTCCCCGAAGAGGCCCAGAACACTGGTGAGTCCCCTGGTTTTTGCGGGACACTTACACTGGCGATTCCCACCCTAAGGGGTTAGTTTTGGACGTCCTTTTCGGACAGATCTATGGATTCCCAGATTCGTGATCCCAATTTTCTCTTGGAGGCAATGATCTCTTGGCCCACAATACACAGGTACGCACCAACAAAAACATGATCTCTTTCAAAACGTGATCTCTTTCTGTTTCATGCTTGGGCAACCTGATTAAAACAAAAAACAATTGAAACCCCAGACTTGCCTGACGTACGCCCCACCCCGTCATGCGCTGCACGCCGTGCGCTCGGCTTCGTATTTTTTCACAAACTCCGGCGCTGGCGCTTGGCCGGGTCTGCGCCCAAGACTGCGCGCAGTTCCCGTTGAGCCTTGGAGGCGCTTGCAGCAAAATCATTTTCAGGTTTTATCGCCTGGGGAATAGTCAATTAAGTTACCCTTCCCCCGACTGAGCGACAGGGCACCTGGAAGTGGACCCTTAAAACTCTGACAGCTTTTTCAGCGTTGCCCATATGTCCACTCAAACAGACCGCTACCAAAAAACATGTTCCTGAAAACACCAATAAGGATTGAAAAGAAAAACAGAGGGCCCCCCCTGATCACAGCCTGGTGCAGGGGTTCAAGCCCAACATTCATGGTAAAGAGTCAGGGCGTGATATCCGCGTCGTATGGCCGTCTCCAAACTTAACCGGATTGTTCTTGATTGTAAGTGGACCTGGCTTAACCGAACTGGTATAAAACCTGACCTCCAGTTTGCAGGGGATGAGGGCACCTAGTTTTTGGCCAGACTGGGGGGAGTCTGAACTGAGCTGACAGGACGTGCAATTCCATGCAAAGGCAAACCAAGCAGAAGTTAAGCTCAACGCTTAAAAGGAGCTCCTAGTTAAACAGCTCGAACGCGAAGTGCGTTTAACGTCACGTTGGAGTCTGCGAAGTGCACTTTGGCAGCTCCAGCTCAAAAAGCACAACTCTCAGCACAAGAGTAGTACGCGAAGCATGCTTTGGCAGCTTCATCGTACCTGTAACAGCTGTTTGGTTTACTTTTACTGTTTCTGTTTTACAAGGAAACTCGGCAAATCACCCACTCGGGAAAAGGAACTCAATCCTGCGACATCCAAATCAAACATACAAGTGCTTCATGTCCTTGCACAGTTGCATTTACATGTTTGTTCGTTGTTTGTACGTGATTCCATATACATTCTAACTAAGTGTGCTGTAATCAAACTTGCAAAGCAGCTATCTCAGTTGCGCGTTACTCGCCTAATGCGATTCAACCGCTGTCAAGAACAGCTATTGAATATTCAAGTGTAGGAAGAAAAACGAAAATTAGAATGGTTTCAAGTTCAGGCCAGATTCAACTTTAACCGGTTGCCGTTTCTTGTGTGTTTCAGAAGTCAGCTGGAGAACACAGCTATTGTCATGGCCAATTAAAACGAATCAAGAGAAAAATCACATGGGTTATTGTCCTTATCTAACTCCATGTGGCTTCAACCAAGCAATCACTGAGCCAAACCCATACCAGAAATGTGATTTCAAACATAGATCTCATCCTTGGCATTAAATGCTGTAAAACACGGTGTTGTTTTCAGCATTCGCTCAGATCATGTTGCCTGGACCGAAGGCCACCCATTCAAGATTCTACAGGCATCGTTTTAGAACATCCTCAATCCTGGCCCCCAAGAAGCTTGACAGTTTTTCTGGACTCTTTAAGGTTTTCCCGCCTGCGTTGAAGGTTGAAGATTGCCAGATGCTTTTTTGAGAATCGTCCATCCTGGCCAGCCCTCTGACAGCATACCATGGGCTACAAGACCCCCCAGATGCCAACTGGGCATCATGCAAGACAACAAGAAAGAGCACAACAGGATTTGTGCTACACTTCTTCGGAGAAGCAATACGCGATGGAAGCAGAACACAAGCAACAATAGCACTTTCATCAGCAGAGTCAGAGTTGTACGCAATGGTACAGCAGCACAGGAGAGCCCCTACATCAGCAACTTCATCAAGGAAGCATTTGGAGTACGCACCGACATCAGGATACACACAGACAGCAGCGCAGCTAAATCAGTCACGATGAGAGAATGCACATCAATGAAAGCAGACCACATTCAGCTGCGACACTCTCAACAAACACATGTGCAACGTTGGCCTGTGAGGCCATCACAACAGTTTCACACCAGGAAAGCACAGTAGTCAGGACAGTTTGATAAAACAAAAACAACAGTTTATTAAGCAACAGTTGCACAGGTCACCTTTCCTTGTCTACAACGAAAGTGAAAGCGCTACAACTTAGCTTTGCTTAGGCAATCCGGAGCCATGGTACATCTTTTCTGGGAGTTCTGCAACCCCCAGACAATGGTTTTTCTGCAAGATACCTGTCAAACATGGATTTGCACCTTTTTTGACCTTTAATATCAGTGAGGCATATTCCTCCTGACACATCGGACCAATGGACCTTGACAGCGCTTGCTATAGTACACTGGACTGCAGGCCAACATGAGGAGGCCGTTTTGGGAGCACATCATCTACAACACCAGTCCATTTGATGCTCTCACAACTTTGCTCTACCCCTCCAGAGCACGAGATTTGCCACTGCGACATCCTCGACATCTTCATGGACCAACGGTTTGGCTTGGAATTACACCGCCATGGTCAGCTTGAGTCACCTGCAGACTGCAAACAGGTGATGGAGTACTCGGGTCTACAGATCACCAAGTACATCAGCCAGGTGAAAAGTACCGCGAGGAGCTCATCGCAGCAGCAACCAACATGGACGAGGTTACAGCAGTGTCTGGAAAGAGGCCAAGAAATTCGTGAACATCATGGTTCACACGACTGTGATTCTTGGCGGTGCACATGAGTGGCACAGTCGAACAGCTGGATACAACATTTGCTTGAGACAGCAGCTGTTTTACACCTGCTTTTGACACCACGACCCAAGGAAATTGCACAGCTTGGTACAAATCTTTTGTACAGTGGCAACATTCAATTTCAACATTTCGGGAGAATGTGTGCAACATTCCTAAGGAGGCGTGTTAAGATACATGCGCCCCAATACATCATGGATGCTGCTACGTACTATCAAGGCCTTGAGCCTATGTACAGACTTGAGCATGCCTTAGTACAGCTACAGTAGACAGTACATCATTGCCCTGAGAAAACAGCTGCGCTTCACTTCGTTCATCCCATCAAGTAAAAAGGTATACAGTTACTCCAAGTTTAACAGTGTTGAAGGAAGGGTTCTCCCTTGTGTAGTCCACCCCTAAGTCGGAGGGCAAAGCTACGAGAGACTTGAGGGATCTTGAGGGGCACCACTCGTTCGCTCCTTTTTTCCCTGGCTCTCCTTGCCTTAATATGCATGTCCGATTGCTTTTTTTTCTGGACGACCCTATCAATCGAATCCCCCTAAAATCAGTTTGAAGCACCACTCCCACCTCGAATTTGTGGCCCTACCCAACTGGGTACGGTATGTGGCAAAGGTAGACGCAACAAAATGCTGGTCTTCCGTTTGGTATCCCTTTCCCCCAACACAAAATCACAAAAAACAAACAAACAAACAAACATGTCACCGCACCGTTCCAACTATCACATCCTCCTGCTGAGAATCAAGCACCCAAGCATTAAGATTGCGCTGGGAGGCAGAGATTGGAAACATCACTAATTTAATTCAAAGCATGTGTTTCAGTGTCTGCCTGGTCCGGCAATCTTAACCCAATCACTTGACTAGACTTAAACCCCTTGGCAAATTAACTTTGCTCTGGTCACAAGGCTGGCCAATAGAAAGTACAAGGACACCTAAAAGTGCCAACAAATCAGACAAGTTAGGCAAACATCTGACAATGTGCAGGTTCCAAAACAGGGGCAGCGGGCCCCAAGTGTCAGGGTAGGAATTAAAACCACTGTAGTGCCACTGGAACGGTTAGTTAAGTCTAGCAATGAAGATGTGCGTGTGTGCTTTTTTGGGACCCCCCCAAATTGGTGGTTTTCCTGTTGGTTTCCCTTTCAACTCACCTCCAAATGGGGTGCCCTGTGTGTTCTTTGCAGGACCCCCCAAGTTGGCGGTTTCCCTTTTGGTTTCTCCATGAAACCAAGCAAACCTTGGGCTACCATCAAAAAAAGACGAGCCACCCATAGACAGCCCTGCCGCCTTGCTTTTCGAGCCGCGCGTGGCGGGAAGCTGTCCGAGTTCACCACGCTCTCTGCCTCGGGGTTCCTGGGCTCGAAGGGCGCGGCGTTTTGACCTTTGGGGAAACTCAAACAAGCACATGGGTGTGGTCAAAATTAAACCACCAGGGGACCGCAGATTTGAGTCCTTTGGGGTAGCCATTTTTGACCCACAGCCACATCATGTACTCACTTCCTGAGTGGATAGCTCAAAACAAGTCCGAACTTTCTTTTTACCACTAAATGGGCTTCCCAAATAGCTTTAAGTCCAGGAACTCAGGAAGTCAGTGTACATATGTAAACAAACATGTATGTGTATGTGTCTAAATTAAATATTATAACAGTATTAGTCATGCAACATAACATAGAACACATACCAATATGTAAATGTATAGTGTGCGCACGCTACGTCCTTTTTGGCTGAGCAGCTGAATTTAATGTGTGCTTTGAGAACAACAGCAACAACAACAACGACAACAACAACAGCAACACAAACACAAACACCAACACCAACGCCAAGGCCAACGCCAACGCCAACACCAACACCAACACCAACACCACCAACACTACCAACAGCAACAGCAACAGCAACAGCAACAGCAACAACAACAACAACAACAA